CCTGTAGTCCACGCAAAGCACCACCAAGTCGGGACCTCGACCACAGACAGACGCACCCTCCTCAAATAGTAATATAGATAGTAAATGCCATTGTTTTTTATGGTCGGTTGGCCGACTCATGTTATTGAGGAGTAGCTCAGAATATTGACTTTCGCGGACATGGCCACAGTGCGTACCTTTTGCGGCGCTGGATGATCCATTAATGATGTATAAGGTGAGCATTGCACCAATAGCTAACAGTAGAACGTTATAATGTTTAACGCGTTCCTCCTGTCTGCTCTGCAGGTGGACAAGAAGCGGGGCCGCGGCGCCGCGGAGCGAGTGGTGTACCAGTACCACTACACCAGCTGGCCCGACCATGGCATCCCGCACAGCCCGCTGCCCATCCTCAGCTTCATCAGAAAGTCGGCAGCAGCCAACCCCGAGGCCGCCGGGCCCATCGTCGTCCACTGCAGGTCAGTTGTGCAGGGGTCACAGATGTCACAGCACAGCACAGTCTGGTGTATATGGCACAGCACAGCACAGCACAGCACAGATGCGCGGGTCACATATAACACAGCACTGTGGATTGGGTCACATATGTCATAGCACATCACAGTTGTGCGGGTCACAGATGTGTGGGGCGTGCGGCAGGGTCGTGGGTAGAAGCGGTCCCCGTTGAATCAGAAGGTGCTGGGCCTACCTCATTCCTATCAACTCCAGTTCCGCCACTTCGCGTGTGCCCCTAGCGGAACGAAAACTCAGCGCGGTGAGTGTACACATCCAAGGCGAATCGTGATGCCATCGTGCCAGATTATGTTGTTAAATTTTTGACTCTCCTCCGCTGTTGGTGTCCCGCGAAGTTTAATGGTCTTTACGTCGACGCTGACAGCAAATGAGGTGTAATTTGTGAAGTTTGCTTTGAAAATGTCTGTGTAAAGTTGTCGTCACGGAGTATTTGGGAGCTAATTTATCGTCACTTATGTCAGGAACGTCGTTTCTCCAGTAGTACCGTGTACGGCAGGGTAATAAACATCGTCCTAGTCGCTACTGTCCCGACGATTTATATCTTTCCGTGGGCAATTCTACAGCTAAATGTTCCCAGAAATAAGAAAAGGAAATGCTGCAATGTGGGAGAATCATGAATCATGCCCTAGTCATCGTGAGGTGACACACATTGCTTTTTTGTTCCTCACCGAGAGTACCTAATTTGCGACGAAAGACGTAATGCGTCTACAAAGCGTTCACTGCACTATCTAAACTTGTCGCGCAGATGTCATGACCTTCAGGGACAAACGGTCATCACCAAAACGACTCATGCTGTGCTCGCTTACAAAGGTATTATACCGGTTTAAGAAAACAAAAACTAATCGGAACCGCTCCAATATCGGCCAGTAGGTCCCAATACTTTCTACAGGGTGATTTTTTTTTTTATTGTTAAAAAGTAATGAGGTCTAGTGGCATTAAAATACAAATATATATTGCAAAAGTGTATACCAGGATGACAAGCATTCTGGGACATTTTGATTTCATGCAGACACGATGTGAAAGAACGTCCATCGTGTATTTTACTTGTGCTTGAAGTTGCCCCCTCTCTCATCAACACAAATCAGCCCGCCTGAGCACGTGTTGAACAGCACCATGGACTCACATACTCATTAGGCGGACTGAAAAGGCTCCTTTCACCCATGCTCTGCCAGATATTTCCACTGTTTTATTGTTATATCTGCCATAGCTGGGTCAAAAAACTAGAAGTCTATTAACCCGCGCGGGGCTGGGGGGGGGGTAAATTTTACCCCTCTCGAGAATTTTTGCAATATCTCAAAAACGGCGGCGCGCAGCGCTGCTAAACTTTCAGTACCTTTTCTTACATCAATTTGATACGTTCCCTGAAAATTTGAGCGAAATCCGTCGGAAAATTTTTGAGAAATTGACGTTTTAGTGACGTCATGTTCGCCATTTTCGCCTCAAAAACGGCAAAATTTCAAACGCCGCTAACATCTTCATTTTTTAAGGAATCAAGACGTAACAACAAAGTTTATACGTAATTCTACTTTGTCTATCAAATGGCTATCTCGTTTTTTTGAAACATTTTGGATTTTAGCCCAAATTTTTTCAAAAAACTGACTTTTTTGGGAAAATGATTATAAAATCCAAAATTTTGGGTGTATCGAAAAAACCGGAATATATGTCAGAGAAGTGGTCTATGTGCACCTACATACTAATTTTTAGAAGAATCGGTTCAAAAATGTGGGAGTTATTCAAAATTTTATGACGTCACGACATACAAAAATTTTGAAAAATGATTTGTTGGAAGTTCTAGACCTCGTACGGAAACAAAAATAGCACCATTCGATTCGCCGTGAAAAACTGCATCAGATAGACACCTTTTTAGGCCTTAACAACCAACTTCAAAATTTGACCTCACTTGACCTGACCTTGACCTGACCTCGACCTGAAATTCATCCAGAGGTGGTCCATATCACTTATTGAGTGTGCCTATTGAATTCTATGAGTAAAATGACCCATAAAACATGTGTCGCACATGCCCTTTTCTATATTTTGTTTTTGGTGACCTGACCTGACCTGACCTGACCTTGACCTTGACCTCTAAATGATATTGTATGCAACGAATATTGTCTTGGTAGCCTAAGAACACGTTTTGGGCAATCAGTCTCAGTCCATGACTCCATTCTTCGGCAACTACGGTGCAAGGCCGATACTGTAGAAACTTGCAATTTGTACCCTTGACCTGACCTTGACCTTGACCTCAAACTTTAAATTAAGTACATGTTTTTAGTTGTTCGTGATGAGATCTTTCGATTGGCGTTTGAATTTTCCAAATCGGACCATTAGTTCGGGAGATAACAGGGGGGGGGTAAAATTTACCCCCCCCCCAGCCCCGCGCGTTCGGCTGGAGACCCCAGCCCCGCGCGGGTTAAGGGACAGGTCGAGGATTTCGATACTGGCGGCCCTGGTGGTGTCTGATTCGCTGTTTTTCTTTCTCCCTGAAGACTGATTCTTCAGAGGCTGCACATACGCCAGATGGTCCGTTTGAAGGTTATGTATGACTACAAGCTTGTTCGTGCATTATTTAACGTCTTTCTGGGGTATCTCCTCGATGATCGTATGCTTCGAACTGCCTCAATGCTTCAAAATCATCGTTTTGTGTCGTTCCTTATTGAACGGCGGTGGACCATGCGTGCCCGATTGGTGGGACATTTTCAGGCTCCATTGGGGCCGAGGCCTTCGGTTAAAAGGGACAAATCATGACACCATACAAAATGTCCCAGATTTATCTATCACGTGCATTGCTTTTTTGCACGCGATTTTTCGATTTAGGGACCATCATTGACATTTACTTTTTAACAGTTAAAAAAATCACCCTGTATATCGATGTTATCTGCGCATTCGCGAATGAAGTGGAACCTATAAAGGACAAACTTATTTACAACGCCCCCGTGTTCTCTGCAGTGCCGGTGTGGGCAGGACGGGCACCTACATCGTGCTCGACTCGATGATGCGGATGATCCGGGCCAAGGGCGAGGTGAACGTCTTCGGCTTCCTGAAGCACATCCGGACGCAGCGCAACTTCCTGGTGCAGACGGAGGACCAGTACGTGTTCCTGCACGACGCACTGCTGGAGGTGGTGGAGAGCGGCGAGACGGACATCCACAGCTCCTTCCTGCGGAGGTACCTGCACAACCTGCAGACCACCGAGCAGGACATCTACCCCTGGTACAACCTCGACAGACAGTTCAAGGTAAGGCCAAGGTCTGTGAATCTGTTGCATGGACGCTTGTCATAGAAGAAGCACAGCACGTGTGAAGTAGGCTGAAATGAATTTGTCGTTTGTCGGCATAAAAACACTTGTGAGGTCTGAGCAAAGCAGGGGAATTTTATTATGTTTAATTTTGCTGACAACGTTGATGTTTTATGTCGCATTTATGTGAGCAGTTTCAGGCACGGGCGTAGGAACGTCATGAAAAGTGGGTGGGCCACCCTGTAAAGGGGCCTCCTTTTCCAGGGGGCCTCCTATTTTCAGGGGCCTCCAACTTTTGCCTCGTCCTGCTTGCTGCTTTCAAGTATGACCTCCAAATCTAGCTTCTGAGATCGGGCAGATGTACCCAGGGGGGTAACCGCTTAAGCGAACAGTGCGAAAAGTCCGCACCATTTTTAAAACTTATTCCCCTCCGATTTTTTTTTAGAATCCATTTGCCGCAAACGGCGCATGACCCCTGAAAACCCTTACACAAATGTCTTCCTTGTTTCCCAATTGCCCCCATTAGCTTCACAGGCGCCCTCTTTGGCATATAAGCGCCCTATGTATAGTCATCAGAGACATCCCTATATGTCCCACAGTCGCCCCGTTGTCGCACACAATGTGCGCTTATCATAGGCGTCTCTCTTTTATGGACACTTGAAGGCGCCTCTCTTTGCCATGCCGGCGCCCCCGTTTCTTATGAATGCACCCCCATGGCATTGATCAATTGCAATTTGCAGACCTCTATTGCATGTGGACGCCCGTCGCCCATATATGTAGGCCTCAAAAGAGGCGCCCCTCTTTCACATTGAGGCGCCCCTATGGGCTTCATAGGCGCCCCTCTATTGCACGTAGGTGCCCTACTGTCTCAGAACCGCTCCCCTTTGGCATGCATACGCCCATCTTTCGTACGGAGGAGCCGCTGTGGTTCTTTGAGACGGCATGGTGCTCCCAGACGCAGATGGGGCTCTCGGAGTCGACAGTGTGGGACCTTCAGTCGCTGATGGGTGCCCGCCAGATGTGGACCCTCGGAGACGCCGGTATGGGGCCCTCAGAGATTGTTTGTTTGTTTGTTTATTTATTTTCGATCATGGACATGCATTGTGAGATGATGATACAGATGGATTGGCACAAAAGCAAAACTGCTTAACTCAAGGTACCTCTCCAACAGAATACCGAAAATAAATCAAAGATAAAACGACCGCCTCCGGACACCGACCAGCACCCCCCCCCCCCGCCACCCACACAGCCCGTCCGTATAGGCAAACCGGGCGCCCACCGCCGCGCAGCCGCCGGCCGCACCCCGCCCGGTAAACAGAGGCAAAGTCGAACGAGGTGCGGCCGCCGTCCACGCAGCGGCATACGCCCAGGTCCGCCATCAGCCGCCGTCAGCTGCCGGCGCCCGCCAAGGAATCTAAAATGAAAAGCGTTTGGTGTTAAGGATAAATCGTTGGAAAATGTTTGCAATTTGCTGTTGTTCTCGCTCATTTAAGTTAATTCCTTTGAGATAGACAGTGATTTGCTGCTCTTGACTTAGGTTAGAAAATTCTGGAATGATGAATAAAGTTTCATGAATCATTTGGGTCCTTATGTCACGATAGAGAGGACAGTGAAGGACAAAATGTTTTATATCTTCAGTTAGATGACCACAGAGACAAACAGGGCTATCAGTATTACGGCTATGGATTTTGAATAAGTGTGCGTTCAGTTGGGATAAGCCCATTCTTAACCTTGCATGAAACACGTTCGCTGATCTGGAACCAAGATCGTAGTAAAACTGCGGCGAAGCTGCGCCACAGCGCTGGTGTATTTCACGCTTGAAGGATCGGGAGGATTGGATTGAGGTCACCTCAGGTGGGAGTTGGTTCCACATCCTGATGGATGAAGGGATGAAGGATTTCTGGTATGCTGTGGTTTTGTTAGGGGGCAATGTTAGAGATGTTGCGTTTCTCAGTGGTCTTCCTGTTGTGTTTGCTCTTGTGTCAGGTATGAGTGAGGTGATAGCTGCGGGTAAGTGATGTCTGTTGTGGGTGAATGAATGGAATGTCGTTAGTTTGTGGAGGCCTCGTCGCGTTTCCAGTGTCGTCCACCCTAAGTCTTCTAGTAGAGTCTGTGTGTGTGTCCTGAAGAGTGCTCCTGTTATTAGTCTGGCTGCCCTGTTGTGTACTTTTTCAAGTCTGAGTGAGTCGCTAGTTGTCAGGAGTCCGTCGTACACAATGTCACAATAGTCGAATAGAGGTAGGATATAAATTTGGTATATGTTGTTAAGGATGTGTCTGGGGAGGATTTTCGCCAGTGGATAAAGTGGACTGAGGGCTCTGTTGACGTTGAGGATAGTGTCATTGACGTGCTGGTGGAAATGAAGGTCTGTCAATATAGTCAGTCCCAAGTGTCTGTGGCTTGTCACGCAGGGGATTTGTTGTCCGTCAAAGTGCAGTACTGGTGGTGTTTGGGAGGGTTTGTGTGTGAATGTTTGCTGTATTGTTTTGGTACCATTGAATGTTATCGTCCAGTCCTTGCCGAATTGCTGTATTTTGTGTAGGTCTTGTTGGAGCGAATCCTGTCCAGTTGTCGGGTCGTGTGGGTGTGTCTTGTAAAGTGTAGTGTCGTCGGCAAAAAATAATATGTCGTTGTTAGTGATGTCAGATAGGTCGTTAAGATAGATAAGTGCGAGAAGGGGTCCCAGGACCGACCCCTGCGGGCATCCTGCGTTGATGGTTCTTGGGGTACTAAGTTTTTCACCAATTTTGACTATCTGTTTTCTGTTTGAGATAAGAAGATAACCAGTTGATGAGAGTTCCAGTAAGACCGCATTGTTTTTCACATTTAAAAAGGAGACCTCTGTGCCAAATTTTGTCGAAATATTTGCTTATATCTAGGTAAATAGCTGTTAAGTCGCTACCTTGGTCCAATGCATGATAAATATTGTTAATGAAATGAATAAGTTGAATTTGAGTGCTATGCTTAGGGCGGTACCCGCTTTGTTTGTCGGATAGTAGATCATTTTCGGTGAGATGTTCATATATTTTTTGGAAAACTATTCTTTCAAGGATTTTAGATATACAAGGAAGCAAACTGATAGGCCTATAGTTGACTGGATCGGAGTTAGAACCTTTCTTTTTGAAAATTGGATGTATGATTGCTTTTTTCCATGATGTTGGGAAAATTCCTTGAGATAGAGACATGTTAAATAATTTGGTTAATGGGGTTTTAATTATGATGGCGGTCATCTTTAGTAACTTTGCTGGGATGTTATCATTACCACTAGATTTGTTAGGGTCCATATTATTGAGAACTTTCAAAACTTCTTCTTCAGTTATTACAATGTTGTCTAAAGGAGGGGGAGGTGGGTCCGTGGGGGCGGTCCTGGGGATGGGTTGGTCGTCGTTGTCAAGTTGTGTTTGTCTGGCGAAAAAGTCCCCTAAGAGGTCAGCTTTGTCAGAGTCCTGTGTCAGTGGAGTTCCGTCAGGTCCTATGAGTGGTGGTATGGTCTCTGTCTGTGGTCGTCCCAATATGTTTTTCAGGGTCCGGTGATATTCGTGTGGATTTTTCTTTGAGTGCAATAGAGTATTTACTTGACTGTTGAGATGATTTTCCTTTAATTTTTTGTTAAGACTAGTGGTAAAGTTACGCTGTCGTCTCCAGTTGTCCCAGTGATGGTCTGTCTTGTGTCTCTGAGCTAGTCTGAATAGTCTGTCTCTTTTCCTCATTTCTCTCCGAAGTGTCCCAGTAACCCATGGTTTGTCATGTGGTCTGATCTTAATTGTTTTAATTGGTATGGTTTCAGCAGCTGCGTCCAATAATGTCTGGGTGAAGTTAGCTGTCGCCTCGTCTATGTCTCTGTCGAGGATTAAATCCCAGTCTGTGTCAATGAGGAGATGTGAAAGTTTGTCTGTGTCCATGTTAGTATAGTTCCAGATGTGTTTGTATGTAGTTTTTGGGGATGCGAGTGTCAAGTCAAGGGTAGCGAAAGTGGGAAAGTGATCGATTTGTGAAAATGAAGGGAGAACTCCGCTATCTTTTACTAGACTAGTGTTAGATGTTATAATGAGGTCCCTTAGGTTAGCAGTAGTTTGCGTGATACGGGTAGGTTGGTCAATGAGTTGAATGAGGTTAAGTGAGTCAATGGTGTCTTTTAAATGAGTCTCAAATGCAGTGATGTTGCTATGTGTTATAGAGTTTGTGTCACTCAGATAGTTATTCCCTGCATTAAAGTCTCCCAGGATGAATATGGATGATGGATTGTAAGCTTGTGCAAGGGAAACACTTTCAGTTAAGTTGTCTATGAAGTCGGATAGGAGGCTACTTGTTAAATTAGGTGGTAGAGGCAGCATATGAGTATTACGTCAGTCTGTGTCTTAACAAGTGACCAGATCCACTCAGTTCCGTCAAGTTCTAAGTCGGGCAGTCGTTTTGTAGCTAGGGTTGATCTAAAGTAGGCAGCAACTCCACCACCGTGTCTAGTCCTATGTCTTGTCATTGGGATGTGGTAATTATCAAGAGTGTATAGGTTGGGGTGCACTTGTTCGTCTAGTTTTGTCTCAGTCAGCAATAATATGTCGATACTGTTATGAGTGGTGAAAAGAGCTAGTTCGTCTAGTCGTCCAGGTGAAGTGATGCTGTTAATGTTGACATGTGATATTGTGATTGGCTTGTGTTCTGATGGTCCTGGGTTTGTTTCCAAACCACTTATGAGCAAACATGCTTGAATGTCAGGAAAGAGAAAATGAAAAAGTTTAGAAAATACTATACATGCTAGTGGTGAATGGTGATATGTACAAGTGTTGCGTAAGTGTTTTGTGAGAAGATGTTTGTGTAATGGTGGAGGATGTGAGTGGTTTGTGTAATGGTGTTTAGGCGATGGTGAGAGGTAGGGATGAAGGATGTGGTTTGGAAAGGATAATACACCAGCCACTGTGGCACAGCTTACCTCAAAATAACTATGGTGAAAGCCAAGGCGAGAAGATTCAATTTGGAGATAGAAAGATGAAGAACCAGTGGCGGGCTCCTGGCAGCTTCTGGAGGCTGTGGGCATATAGACAAGAACGTCAGGGTCGTGCGAGTGACAGGGTGGCTGAGATCAAGGTGGGAACGAAAGATACATCAACAGAAGTGATATGCAGTAACATATTAGTGATATAGCAAAGAAACATCTAATCATATTTAACCAAATGACTCCAAGGGAACACAAATTATAATAGATGTGCTATGGCTTAATGGCAGGCGATAATGAACAACGATAATGGACAATGGGCAGTGATCATGACATGGTAGGTAGCAAAACAAACTGCGGGTTGTCTGAACACCAGCAAAGAAGGCACTGGACCAGCTAAGCCTGAATTCAGCGTGGGTAGCCAGGGCAAATCTAGTTAACACAGCATGTCTGGTTTTCTATGTGACCCTGAACTTCAGCTGTCTCCCCTGGCCCCCATCCATCTACAAACTGGATCGTCCAACTGAGCATTGGCATTGTCCAGGTAGATACGGATACATTTGATTCAAGGAACACACAAGCTACAGTAGAAGATGTGCATACAGATTGATGGCAGACAATGATGAACAATGACAGTGAACAATGAGCGATGAACATGACATGATAACAAAACAAACTGCAGGTTGTCCGAATGACTGAACAACAACTAAGAACACACTGACACTGGACCAGGAACCTACCCATTGTTCTGTGTAGGAAGTTGGGTTGAGTCTAATAAACAAAACAAGTATTGTTTCTATGCAACCCTGTACTTCTGCTTCCTTAGCCTTCTATCCATCTACACACTGAATCATCTAGGAATGTTGTCTAGCAGATCATGATACTGATACAAACCAAAACTCCATAGTGATAGTTTATCATCTTTGAATACTGATCATGCTGGAATGAGTGGTGCTGGTGCAATATCCTCTCCTCCAAGTCCACTGTTTATCAATATAAACACTAACTTGAACTCAATGTTGATATCCTGAATCAATATTCAACTCAATCCAAATCGAGACCGTATCAAAACAAAACAAGGTCAAAGCACTGCACAGACTTGGCCGGAATGCAGTGCGTCACGAACGTAGCACCTGCGCAAGATCTGTCATTGTTCACAATATGGAAGCTGGTTCAACGAAAGGAAACAGGCTACCATATGGTAGTTTACCTTCGTGTGTTGTACTTCCCTTCACTGGTGGGTATCGGGTTGGGTACCGGGCGCCGGCGGCGCTGCAGCCGCGGCTGCGAACGACTGCGACTCTCGATCCTGCGACGGTGCCGCCGTATCTGTCTGGCGTCCAGCTGTCTCCGTGCGTTCCATGATCCGACGAAGATCCTCTTCGGACTTGATCTTCTGTGTTGCAGCGTTGGGAGCCGTCTTGATCTTCATAACGCAGTCGTCGCTCCAGGCTGCCCAGATCTTGCCTTCTCTGCGTAACTGGCGAGCCGCGTACATAACCTTCTGGTTGCGTCTGGTGAGATTTTCGGTCACGTATGCGTTCGTGGTCGCGTTCTGCGGCAGACAAGATTGTCTGGGCGGGAGCGCCGTCCTGAGCTTCTTGCGAGCACGCCAGACTTCATCCCTTTTCGTGTAGGACACGAACTTGACAATCAGCGATCGGGCGCGAGCGGAGCCGTCCTGTGCGGTCTGCGGCTTGCCGATCCTGTGAGCCCGGTCTATGTCGCTGGGCTGGAGCTGGACTCCCAGCGTCCGGCCGAGATCGATCGCCAGACGCACCGGCTTCTCGTTAGCCGTCTCCGTCACGCCGTTAAAGTTCAGGCAGTTGCGACGCGAGTACTGCTCGATGTCGTCAATCGCGTCAGCTTGAGCTTCAATGATTTTCTTCTGCTCATTGACTTGCTCCTTGAGCTGCTTGATCTCCTTGTCGCGAGACTCGAGCTCTTCTTTGAAGATGTCACGCAGAGATTTGCGTATCTCGTTGTCACTGAAGCAAGCCATCAAGGCACGCTTCAGAGCTTCCTCCGTGACTGGCGATGAATCAGGCATTTTAATTCACTCAGACTCAGTCAACAAAATCACTTCCCCGTCACTCGCACGACCCCTATCACCACAGAGCGTTCACAATGTCCGCCCCGAAACGGGCTGGCAGGCTGCCAAGCGCGACACGGCTGGGTCGGGGTCGGCCGCAGGCGGGCGAGCGGAGCGAGGGGCGCGAGCTGTAACCCGGCCGGCGGTCAAGGCCAAACTGAGATGAGATGCCGGTATGTGGCCCTCAGAGACACCGGTGTGGAACCCTCAGATACTTCAGTGTGAAGCCCTTACAATTGCTGGTGTGGAGCTATGAATGCGCTGGCTTAAATCCCTCAGAGGCCGGTACATGGACATTAGAGCTCAGTGAGAGCTTGTGTGGTGCCTTCAGTGGCCTTGTGGAGCCGTTAGACATCAACATGGTGCTCTCAGGAGCCGGTGAGTCCTCAGAGTCACCGGTGTGGGGCCTTCAGAGCTCCGAGATACTGGTGTGGGGCCCTCAGAGGTGTCGGTGTGGGTCCTTCAGATGTACAGCCCTCAGCAGACTGCGTGGTAGGTATTCTTTTTTCGACAAAACCGGTAATAACTCAAAGACTATGTGATGTGTTGGTCGGAATTCATTGCAAATAGAGGCACCATGCTCCACTCCTTCGATTGGGTCTATCACTAAACAAAGTATATGCTTTGTGTGGCAACAAAATGCAACAGTTTGTTTTGGGGGCAAATATAAACTTTTGGGTTTGTTGCCAAACTGGATGGAAAATGAATACGATGGTAATGCCCATCTAAGGTGCGGAGTCTCGCTCGCGCGTCTTGCTGTTACGATTTCCGAGTGACCGATAGCATAGTATCCGCGATATTCTCGGTTTTGTCGAAAAAAGAATACCTACCACGCAGTTTGCAGAGGGCTGTACCTATAGAGTCTTGAGATGCACAGGTGTGGTGGCCCACAGAGGCGCCGGTGTGGGGCCCCCAAACCCACCGATATAGGGCCCTAAGAGACACTAGTATGACCCTCAAAGGCGCCGCTGTGTGGCGCTCATAAACACTGGTGTGGAGCCATCACAGGCGGGTGGAGCCGTTAGAGGCCGGAAAGGGCCCTTAGATGCCTACAAGGAGCCTTCGGAAGCCGGCATGGCACCCTTATGAGGATACGCGTGTCTACTTAGGAGCCCTTGAGGTTCTCCCATGAGCTCTGTGGGGCCCTACCGAGCCGAAATATGGCCACGGCCAGTTGCCGCCGCATGGCTCTTCGGACTATCATTCTCAGGGGCCTCATCTGCCTAGTTTGAATAGAAGGGCCTCTCAGACCATCAGTCTCATGGGCCTCCTCTGGCTAGTATAAATATAAGGGCCTGTTAGACCATCAATCCTAGGGGCCTCCTCTGGTTAGTATAAATAGAAGAGCCTCTCAGACCATTAATCTCAGGGGGCTCCTGTGGACAGTATAAATAAAAGGGCCTCTCAGACCATCAGTCTCGGGGGCCTCCCTAGAAAAGTGTAAATGTGGATAGAGGGCCCCCTCAGATTCATTAGGAGTGGACCTCTCTGACTATCAGTCTCAGGGGCCTCTTGTGGCCAGTATGAATATAAGAGCCTCTCAGATCATCGGTCTCAGGGGCCTCTTCTGACTGTGGATAGAAGGCCCTCCCAGACCACCGGTTTCAGGGGCCTCCAGTGACCAGTTAAATGAACAGAAGTGCCTCACAGCCATCAGCCTCGGGGGCCTCTTCTGACTGGTGTGAATATGAGGGCCTCTCATACCATCAGTCTCAGGGGCCTCCTCTGCCTATAGGCACACTATAGTGTGAATATAAGGGCTTCCCAGGCCATCAGTCTCAGGGGACTCTTCTGACTGGAGCCGGATTGAGGGACCTCCCAGACCAAAAGTTTTGGGGGTCTCCAGTGGCCAGTATGAATAGAATGGCCTCTCAGCCCATCAGTCTTATGGGCCTCTTCTGCCTGGTGTGATTATAAGGACCTCGCAGGTCATCAGTCTCAGGGGCCTCCTCTGACTACAGTGTAGATGGATAGGCCTCCCAGACCATGAGTCTCAGGGGCCTCTTCTGACTGTTGAGGATAGAGGGGCCTCCTCTGACTAGTGAGGGTAGGGGGCCTCGGCTAGACCGCCAGTGTCAGGGGCCTATTCTGACTAGTGTGGATGGAGGGGCCTCCCAGACCACCAGTCTCAGACCTCTGACTATTGTGGATAGAGGGGCCTCCCAGACCGCCAGTGTCAGGGGCCTCCCCAGACCAGTGTGGATATTGGGGCCTCTTTGGATCCATCACGGCCCCTTGGAGTCCGTGCGTGGGGATTCGTGGAACTTATTTTTACCGAGTTTGTTTATTCTGGAAGGTGACGACGTCCTCTCAAATCGAGACGAGGGGCCTCGAGTAAAAAGTGGGTGGGCCAAAACACATGGTTGGCCCCCCCACCTCGAAAAGTGGGTGGGCACTTGCCCACCTGGCCCCCCCTGTTCCTACGCCTATGGTTTCAGGAGTAAGGTTCTTTGTAACCTCAATTTCTTTTAGCATACTCAAAGTGCGGTGGTGTTGTGAGTGTTCAAACCTGCCTTCCTTAAAATGAAACAATAAAAGAAGCCCAGCGATGAAAATGCTTATGATGCTTCCAACAGAGGTTATCCCGTGCAGCGCTGAAATACTCGAATCAATAACCGCCACCGATGCCTTTCAGCTGATCAACTACGACCAGCCGTCCAACAAGTGCATGTCGTCCGGTCGTCACCCTCTGAACGTCTCCAAAAACCGGCGGCCAGACCTGCTGCCCACCGAGCTGCACCGGGTGCGGATCAGCCCCAAGAGCGGCGTCGAGTGCTCTGACTACGTCAACGCCTCGTGGCTGCCCGGCTTCAGCAAGCTGGACGAGTTCGTGGTGACGCAGCACCCGCTGACGGCCACGGTGGCCGACTTCTGGCAGATGGTGTGGGAGCACAACGCCCAGACCATTGTCCTCCTCAGCCCCGTCGATGACCAGGTAACCGAGACGACGCTGAATGTTTTGGATTTGGCCCGATTTCGCGTCTCAGAGGAACCCGTTTCCTTGTCAGATCGAGTTTGATGCCTCATTGCAACAAAAGATCGATGTCATCATTGATTTTGATTCAGTGGGTGGATCCATTTTAGAAATGGGCCGATGATGCAGAAGTTCTATTTTGTCCATAATTGGATGCTTTCTGAGTTACGTTCAGTAGACTAAAAATGTGCCGAAGAACTGGAGGAACTATTTCAGCCACACTTTTCTTCATCGACGTGCCAACTGCCATCATCCTCATCTTTGTCCAATTTATCTGTCAAGTTCAGACAAGACATTACATAATTGATGGTATGATTATTTTGATTTCGTTCACATGACTTTTCACTGTTGCTATTGAATTATTTGGTTCAAAGAAACGGAATCCATTCAGCTGATGTGGTTTAGCTTTACTTCTGACACAACCATTTATCACAAATGGACGGTTCTGTTTTGCAGGAGTACTGCATCTTCTGGCCAATGGAGCATGTGGACGTGGAATGTGACCAGTTCCGGGCGCGCTTCGTCGCGGAAACACGCAGTGATCCGTACGTTCTCCGGGATTTCACGCTCCAGTCTCCTACGGTGAGTCGTCTGCCGTACAGACAATTGTTGAACTAACTTGTAACGTTGAGGTTGGTTGTCGGCTGTTTGTTACGATAACGCTTATGAAGTTTCACTTACAACCGTTTTATCTATTGGAAGACATTTGTTGGTACTTTCTTCACGTCTCAAGCTCGCATCCAACTTGCACATCTTTTTATCATCTCAAGGTGCGACTGCAAGCAGCGCTTTGCTTCATTTCTGGCTGTGGCGGCATATTTGGCTACGCTCTACTAACGGACTACGCTCCGGTAACAAACTACTGCTCTGTGTTTCAGGACGAGTACGAACTGGCTGTGCGGATCATCCAGTGCTCCAACTGGCCCGAGAACTGCAGCCCCATAGTGCGCGTGTTCGACCTGATCCAGGTGGTGCAGCGGTGGCACCTCGAGTACCAGAACGGGCCGTGCCTGGTGGTAGACCGGTTCGGCGGCACCGAGGCGGCCACCTTCTGCTGTCTGACCACGCTGATGAAGCAGCTCGAGTATGAGTCGCACGCCGACGTGTACATGTACGCGCGGCTGTACCAGCAGCGGCGGCCGGAGGTGTGGCGCAGCCAGGACGACTTCCTCTTCTTGTACCGGGCCGTCGAGGCGCTGGTGGCTTCGGACGCGGCAGCCGACGCCGCGGCGGCCGGCGCGTCGCCGCCTCCCCCGGACGTGACCGACGTGCAGCGCCAGACTCTGCGGCCCATCCTGAAGAAGGGCGGCGCGCGCCAGCGGCCCGCCTCCACGGCCACGGTGCGGATCCCGCCGGACGGTATGGAGAGCGTGGTCGTGGACATGGGAGAGTACGTGACGTGAGGGCACCGGCGCGGCCGGCCCCGCGCGCCGCGCCGCGCCTCCGCCCTGCGCGTGTCCGTGTCGATCGCGGGCCAGCGCCGCGTGCGCGCCACCTCTGTCTAGTCCGTGTCAGAGCCGCAGAGAGGCCAGCGTGCCGAGTGCACGCGCAGCCAGCTAGCGGCTTTTGTTTCACGCTGTTCGCCGAGGTTGGCGACTGGCGTCCCGCGTCTTATGTTGTTTTTCTATCCATGCTGAGGTAGTTTGCCGGGAAGGGGTGCTAACGGGTATCCCGTCTGAAGTGAACTGATTACGTCATGTCGGTGCAAATGCGATGCTGTGGCTGAATTCGTTACAAAATGTGTGCATGACTGCCGCCACATGCTGCGTGGCTGCCACCCGGGCGGATTCCCGAGTCCGTAGACCATCGCTCTGTCTCCGTATTGCTCGCATGTCGAGAGCAGCATACCTCGTCCTGCCGTCGGGGCTTCCGCGAGACGGCGGCCGTCTTGGGCGCACATTTTGCGCGCGCGCCAACTGCCGGAAACTCGTGCCATAGAGTGGAAACGGTAAACTTCCGGTTACGCTTTTAGCCTGTGTCTACCATAGAGATGCCGTCGCCATAAGTATTTGAGACTGCGTGGTCCAGCGTGACCACCCATTCGCCACTTGTCCGGCTCGTCTCCGAACGGTAGAAGTTACCGGGAGCCGGGCCAACCCACAGTTAACTACTGAATGCCTGTATTTATGAGATGATAGTGTATGCCGCTGCTGCTCAAGATTTGTTT